CTTCAAAGGAACGTGCATGTCTCGAACAGCATGGAAGCAAACGATAATCGCAGCCCTGTCCCGCTCAGTTGTACGATCTGTGGAGAACCTCACTATCCAAACAAATGCCCGGTATTTATTGCCTATGAAGTGAAAGAAAGACGAACGATCGTACATGAACGCAAACTCTGCCGCTGTGGTCTGAAAGCCAATCATATCGCCAGAAACTGCTGGTCACCTCGTGGCTGTACAGTCGAAGGATGTGGCAAAGAACATAACATTTTACTGCATCAAGATGATGACGAACTAAATAGTTCGTCAACTGTTTCCATTCATCATTTAGTGGGGCAGGAAGAGACTCCAGAGGTAGCCTCGCAGTTGTTCCCATGACTATCCGGTACAAACAACACACGACACGGACGTTGGTTCTTTTGGACAATGGCTCCGATTCAACGCTTATACATGACAGTCTTGTTTCTGCTCTTGGAATGAAAGGCAAAAGCAAAGACATCGGCATATCGACACTGTATACTGAAACTGTATTTCCGACAATGGAAGTAGAGTTCGACGTAGAATCTAAAAGTAGAACATCTTCCATTCACGTCAGACGGGCATACTCGGTCAACTCTCTACCAAGAGCAAACCGAATCATGCTCAGTTACAAAATGACTTCACTCTGGCCTCACCTGAGTACAATCGAGTTCGAATCACGTGAAAACATGGAAATCGGTCTGTTACTGGGATGTGATATACCGGAAGCACACTGGGTACACGATCAACGTTTAGGTAAAGCCGACGAACCATTCGCTATTCAGACGACCTTGGGCTGGGTAATGATGGGACCTGTACATTTAGCTCCAAAAAAGAACAAGGCGGTATACTGCTCGAATATTGCTGAATTCTAGAAGGATCTGGAGATATTCTACCAACAAGATGCAATGGACGAGGGACCAAGCAAAGAGAAAGACCTGTCTATAGACGATCGTCACGCGCTGGAAACTATGAATCAAACTATTTTTTTCCGGGACGACCATTATATGTTAGCTTTACCTTGGACGATCCAGCCGTCGATCCTTCCGAATAATAAGCTATATGCCTTGCAACGTCTT